TTTTATAGAATATATGGTTGTTGAAATATTTTTATATCTGTTTGAAACTTTGTTATTACTATTCTTGTTTGTAATCACGTTCTAAGTTGTTGTTTTTACCTTTGAACGTTATGCTTAATTACATATCTATTCGACTATTGTTATTATTGTAATTATTATATACGGCCTTTGAAATTTTGAAAAGGCCTTTTAAAGTTTACAAGGTCGTTTAAAAGGGCCCGTAACTCCTTTAAAATTTTGAAAGGCCTGTGTCTGGTTTTCAAAATTTTAAGGATTTTCAGGATTTCTAAAAATGTCAATGGGCCGCGCCCGGCACCAATATATTTTACATTTTTTCAATCTTTCATGGATTTTGCAGGATTTGAAAGAACTTAAGGAGCCTATAAACTTTTAAAGGGCCATGTAAAATTTTAAAGGGTCTTTTAAAATTGTAAAAGCCGATTTAAGACTTTAAAAGGCTTCAAATTCTTTGAAATATTGCAGAACCGTGAACATTAAATGTTTGGGGCTATGCACGGCCCATGTAAATTTTAAAAACCCTTAAAATCCTTAACATTTTGACGGCCTGTGTCTGGCTTTCAAAATTTTACGTTAAAGGGCCATTTTAAATTTTAGAGGGCCATTTAGAATTTTAAACGGTCTTTTGAAAATTTTGAAAGGCTCTTTCACTTCCTTAAAATCTTGAAATCCAAACACAGGACTTCCAAAATTTTGAAGAATTTAGGGGCTTTTTAAATTTTAACGGCCTTTTAAATCTTTGAAAGGAAGTGAAAAAATCAAAAAGCCTTTTAAAGCTTTAAAAGGGCCCTTAACTCCTTTAAAATTTGAAAGACCTGTGTCTGGTTCTCAAAATTTTAAGGATTTCTATAAGTTTTAAATGGGCCGCGCACAGCACCAATATTTTTTTACATTTCTTTTCAAAACTTTACGGGTTTTCAAAGATTTGAAAGATGTTAAGGGGCCTTATAGAATTTTAAAGGGCCATGTAAATTTTTAAAGGGTCTTTTCAATTTTCAAAAGCCCTTTTAAAATTTTAAGAGGCCCTTAAATTCTTTAACATGTTGAAATTCTTTAACATTTTGAAAATCAGACACAGGCCTAGCAAAATCTTAAAGACTTGAAGGGCCGTTTATAAATTTAGAAAGCCTTTTTGAGTTTTTGAAAGGCCGTTTGTAAAATTAAAAGGCTTTTTATGTTTTTAAAAGACCTTCCAAATGCCAAGTTTTTTCACTGCCGTAATAAACTATTAGAAGGGAAAGAGAACCTCAAATAGTACATAAAGGTCCTACGTACATACCACTATACCGCTATACCATTATACCACTATACCACTATACCACTATACCACTATACCACTATACCACTATACCACTATACAACTATACCACTATACCACTATACCACCATACCACCATACCACTATACCACTATACCACTATACCACTATACCACTATACCACTACCATCACTACTGCCGCCACCACCACCACCACCACCACCACCACCCACCACCCACCACCACCACCACCACCACCACCACCACCAAGCGTCTGGGCCCAAGCCGTGTTGTGTGCCCGGGAGTAGGTGTGTGTCCTCGACCCTTTCAGGGCGTTCGGTGTTCCTGGGTTCCCCTTTGCCTCTGTTCAGGGCTGCGTTGCATGCATATGGGGCCATGGACACTGTCCTGCATTCTGGTGTCTCTTCTTCAAGCTGTCAGCTCCCATCAGCGCGTCGTTGGTTGGACACTGGTCTGGAGGGTAAATGTGGAGGAGCTGATCCCCCGCCGCTGGCCTGCACCATTAAGCTGCGGGGATTGCGATTCGGAAGCTCTGGTGTCGCAGCGTCCTGCACTGGGGAACCGTCTCAAGCGGATGCCAGGCGTGCCGCCCGAGCCTTGGTCTCTGGGAAACTCACACCCCAAGTGGATGCTTCAGGATCCCACAGCACTACAGGAACCGGAGCTCCCGCATCGCCCTTCTCTCATAATGCTAAGGCTAAGGATGACTCAGGTGTGTTTCGCTCCGCTGCGCAAACGCATGCGACAGGATGTGCCTCGCTGGACTTGGAAGCCATGGACTGATAGCCCAGGTACAACCCTTGGCAAGCCTCAGGTGTGCGTGGAGTGTCAGCCGGCGCGGTGCTGGGGGTCCACCTCCGCCTGCAGCCGTGCGCCCATGGGTCCCTTCGCCGACAGCACAGTATGCCATGGCCTGTGCATCTTCAGCTCTCCGCCTGCTCTGTGCGACCTCCCCCACCGTTGGCCTAGCATAAGCCTTCTCCCTCCCAACTATGCCTCCAGCTGGCAGGTACGACTGCAGACGCGGCCCTGCGCCGATCCCCTATGCATGCTGGCCTATTCAGGAGCCCGCAGTGTCTGGTGGGTTCATAAGCTTCGGGGCACCTGGGATTGGGTTCCGCTTCAGCAGTTAAGATTTCGGACATGGAGCTTGACGGCGATGCTGCCACGCTGTCATTACCAGCCCCTGCACCTTTTGTGTGGAACCGCGCCACGCAACTTTCTGCAGCCCTTTTGGCAATGCAGGCACGCAGGCTTGACTGGGACACCTTGTACAGGCCTGTTTAGGTCGATAACACTAGGCCAGGAATTTAGTCCCCGGGCTCCCGTTACGTCCCACCTGTGGAACAACACATCAGCCCCAACCTTCGGGCATTCAGGAACCCCGCATCTAGGGCCTGCTGCGCTGTGTGTTCACACCATGCCGCGCCCTCGCGGTCGCCGTGGAGGCAAAAACAGGAATAAGAGAGGCCGCGACTTTGAACGTGAGCGAGCTCGGCCACCGAAGTCTCGCCGTACGGCTGCAATGAGATCTGATTCTTCAGACGTGGATCTGGATCTGGATCTGGCATCGTCAGACGTAGAGCCAGCTGCTAGCTCCAGGCCTGCACCGGCTCCTCGCCCTATCACCTTGTATGCTCGACCGGCCGATTTGCCAGCGCACACTCCGGCCAGAGCGCCTGTGGAGGTGAGTGATGAGGAGGAGGCTCCTGTGTCTGGTGGTTCAGCCTCCTCGATCATGTCGACTGGGGGGCGTGATCAGAGAGCTGACTTCTCGCCCGAGGCACTTCGCCGTGAATTGCCTCCTGATGAGTTCTTGGCTTTAGCTTCTCTGATGGGTAGGGACTACGCCACGCCGACGCAGACTAGCTACCGCGGTGTGGCTTCTAAGTGGATGGTTCCGCGGGCAACCGGAGTATCTGCTAGGGCCGAGGACTCTGCTCCTGCTAGGGCGGCTGCTGAGTGCACTGGTTCTGCGCGCGTACATGGTGGACCTCAGGTGGCTTCTGTGGCTCGCACCTGGCCTGCCGGTGCGCTTGGGCCCAAAATGAGCGTTGCTGCATCTGCAGTACCCCCGCCGCGAGCTTCGCCGGTCACAGTCACAGACTCTGCTGCTACAGCCTCCGAGGGAACGGACGATGTGGTTATGGTATTGGGCGGAGTGGAGTACTTGCGCCCTCTGCCGAAACGGCGCCCGCAGTCTCAGCGTACACATCAGCTGCCTCCACTCATCTCTCCGCAGGAGAACGCAGAGATAGAGGCATGCATGAATCATCATGAATCAAGGGGTTCGCTTGGGCATCGCTGATCTCGGCTCGATGTTGCCTTCGGCCTCCTCTGAGCCTGTGGCGGATCACATCACAGACCACAACGCTTACGGGTCGAGCCAAGGGTCCAACAATCAGGCACCGCGGACTCCACCATTCCTGGAAGCAGATTTACTGCTGAGGATCGAGCTCAAAAACCAGGCCGCACAGATGATCCGTGACGGGGAGCTGAGCGCGGATGGCTCGGGCACACCGCCTGCAGCTTTTGCGTTAGATGCCGACTTACAGACCATCCATGATCAGTACGCATATATGGTCAGGTGCGCAGGGTTTCCAGTCAATCCCGTACTCACCTACTGCTTGGGCTTCTGGGTTTTTGCACTAGCCGACCTTGCTCCACCCCGGTTCTTTGAGGCTTCGGGTGGACTAATCGGGACTTGGCGTAGCAGCTGTGACCAATGTCGCTCCAACCTGGGTCCCGGGCCCTCTCCCCACTGCCCCAGGGTCCTGACCCCCCGTCCTTGGCACATTCCCACCCTAATGCGCAATCGCTCCTTTCAACAACACCCGTGGGTGCGCACATGCAGGACCCGCCCCAGGATGCGGCTGCGCCGGCTGTGCCGGTCCTGTGCAGGCTCGTCAACTTCACCGTCAGCTTCACCCCGCTGCTCTGTAGTGCAACGCTGCCACAACACCCTAAGCCCTTGGGTTCTTTGGACTGCTGTTGCGCGCGGCATAGGCACCGCCTTGCACTGGCGACTGCTGGCACTTTGGAGGCCTGTCTCCAGTGCTGGTCCTTCTGACCTAGTCCTCGGGGTTGTTGAGGGCTGTCGTGGGCTTGCTCAATCAGTGCGAGGCGCACGAGCAAGGCTAAAGGGTGGTACAATAAGGCGTGCGGGTCGTAGGCCGTTGATGAGCACAGAACTTGGAACACACCGCCGTGGCACACACAACCATGCGGGAAGAACTGCCCCCGCCTGCGTTTCTTCTCGAGATATCCCACACTCTAGCGCCCCCCCTGGTCCCAAGTCCAGGGATCACAGCACACCGACTGGATGCGGGCTGCAACGCCTCATCCTGAGCCTTCTGATTATGCCGAGTCGTGCTGTGATAGACGCGAGGGTTCCTGCATCAGCCCGGGATGCAGGTGGAGCGGCCTCCGCTTCAGGCTGGCGCACACATGATGCCGCAAAGCCATCGGGCAATACAGTAGCGACGAGAGGGTCGCGTCTTCTTTCAGACCAGACATCGAGAATTCGCAAGCGCACACTTAAGCGTGCCATCGCACGCGCCACGCGTGCAGGTGGAGCCTACTACAGGGGGCGATGGCGCTCGGCGCAACAACTTGGTGCGCCTGCAGCAGCCTCGGAAGATTGTCCATTGCCTGTCACCTCCGACACGGCACGCCCCCCTAATCATGCACCTCCAGATGCAAGGCCGAGGCCCCGTCACCTTAAAATCCTGACCTGGAATGCCGGTGGTCTTGGGGGCAAGGAGGGCGCACTCTTTGATGAATTGCAGGTCTATGCCAACACGCATCCCTTTGATGTGTTGCTAGTCCAGGAGTCCAAGTGGACGTTCAGCAATATGTGTGAGGACTCTCGGTGGTTCTTCCTGCACTCAGGCTCGACCGCCCGCGACTTCAAGCAAGGTGGGGTTCTCATCATGTTGTCCAAGCGGATTGTTGACCCGGGATCCGTCCGGTTTGTTGAGCCCTTGCCGGGGCGCATTCTGTGGGCACACTTCACGCACCGTGGGAGACCGATCGACATTCTCAACATGTATCAGCACACATGGCGTGGCTCCGAAAGAGTAGCCCAGCTCCGACACCGTGCCCTAGATGTGCTCACCAAATCCGTCCAGGCAGTCTCGCTTCGCAGCGTTCTGATCGTGGCAGGCGACTTCAATGCCCAGTGTGACACCAGTCTGCCTCATGTAGGTCCAACAGTCATGCCACACAAGCACTGGGCTGAGGATTCAAGGGACTTTCAGTCGTTCATCGAGGGCAATGATTTGGTTGCACTGAACACTTTTACCTCCCTCCAACCACTGTCACACATATGCCTGGGGTTCCCAAAAATCTCAGCTAGACTATCTGCTCTTGCGACGTGCCCACGCTACGGGCACCACCAAGCAAGCTAGCGTTCACTACGCCTTTCCCTTGGTGGGCGTTCGGGAAGGCGCCCGCCACTTTCCGGTATGCACGCAGGTTCCGATTGACTGGCAGCCATGGCGGCGCCCTCGGGGCCAGCCGCGCCCTCCTCAGATTGACCGCCACGCCATTGCAGATGCACTGAGCGGCACACCAGACGACAGGGTCTTGTCTTTTCGCTGTGCAGTACAGGGTCTCCTGCAGGACCCGTCCCTTACCTTGGACACCTTGCAAGATCAGGTGCATGCCCTCGCAGTGGAAACTTTTCCTGCCCAGAGGCCTCCTGAGGCTGCCCGGCCGTGTCAAGACGTTCAATTGCAAGGGTACGCGGTTCGCATGTGGGCTCATTTTCGGGCTTTCCGCAAACTCCGGGCGCTGGGCTCGTCTGCCCCACTGTCTGTCATTTTTCGGGAAAGGCACCATAAATCAGCCTACAACCGTATGCGTGCAGCCTCCCGGCACCGCGGTGCTGAATTGCGCAAACAGAAGCGCGACCGTCTCTTTGACACCGCCAGGGCTGCTGCCTCCAGTGGCAACCTTCGGGAATTTTATAAGGTGGTTCGCCTGCTTGCGCGTCAGGGCGCGCGGAACCGTTTTCAGCTTTGCCAGGGTGGGGTTCCGTTAGCGCCTGAGCGTGAGTTGGAAGTTATGAAGCAGCACTTCGAGCAGCAATTCGCGTCGCACTCTGAGCCCCCCGACCCTTCTGCCACCTGGGACTGTGATGACCCCATCTCCGTGACAGTCACTGAGGTCCAGTGGCATCTGGACCGATTACCGGCGAGGAAGGCCGGAGCCCCATCGACTTCTCCGGGCGCTGTATGGCGCTCGTGCTCTGTGATCTTGTATCGCCACTCATCGCCCAACAACTTTCGGATCGGTGGGGCACGGGTTCTAAATCAGTACCCCACTTGTGGACTACGGCAACCTTAGCCCTCTTGCTTAAGGCTGGAAAAAACGGGTCTGAACCCAAACACTTCCGGCCCATCGGACTCCTAGACGCGCTGGGTAAAGCGTGCATAGCGATGGTCATGAGAAAAATCAAGTTTGACTTGGAAACCTTTGTCCGGAGCGCCCCCCAATTTTCTTACATAGCCGGTAGGTCGACGGAGGACGCGCTCCGACGTGTCTTCAGCCACTGCGCCGAGGGCCGCCGGTTGCGTGCAGCCCACGCGCGTAACCCGCACCAGCGGTTCGCAGGTCTCAAGATCCCCGCCTTCCAAGGCGGCGTGCAGATCTGCTTGGATCTTGCATCTGCTTTTGACACTGTACCCCACTCCCTGGTTCGCGAAGCTCTTCTCGAAGCCGGAGTTGAGGCGGGGCCGGCCTCCCTCCTCCTGGCCTGGCTGGAGTCCTGCTCCTATGATCTTCACCTCTCGGGTCTCCATACCAACATAATCGCTAGGCGAGGCGTTAAACAGGGCTGCCCTGCGTCGCCTCTGCTGTTCGCCGCCTGTACTGTTCTCCTCGCCCGTCGCATCGACCTTCGTTTAGGATCGTCATGGGTGTCTGAACACTTGACCATGTTCGCTGACGACCTACACCTGGCCTCACTGTTCCATTCGGTTGCGGAGTTTGAGCTGGAGTGTCAGCGCCTGGGGGCTGCTATCACTGTTCTGCGGCAACACGGGCTAATCATTCACCCTTCAAAGGCTCAGGCCCTTCTGACGTGCACTGGTTCACAGGTCAAGCAGACCCGCCAACGCTTTGTGAAGCCCCTGCCCGCACCCGCTGTTGGAAAGGGTCTGCGACTCCGTGCCTCGGGCGAGGATGTTCTCATCCCCCGCGCGCGTAGCGCGGATTACCTTGGGGCCGTAATCTCGTCCGATTGCTTTTCAGCGCAAACTCTGGAAAAGCGTCTGGCCCAGGGCCGGACTGCACAAGTTCAACTGCGTAAGGTGCTCAATGCCCGGAAGGGGTTGCTTCTCACCCAACGCGTCCTCCTCTGGCGCACTACTGCGTGGCCCTGCCTTCTCTATGGCCTGGGGGCCTGTGGTCTTACTACCGCTCACCTTGCCTCCCTTCAAACGCTGGCCCTTAAGCAGCTCCGGGCCCTCTCCAACTCTCCTGCGCACATCCACCATGAGTCGGATGCTACCCTCTGCCTTCGCCTTGGCGTGCCCATGCCTCGCGACGCCCTCCGGCGTCTGCATGATCGTATGCTCTGCAGACAAGTCCCAAGGGACGACTTTGTCTTTGGGCCGCATGACCCTTGGACCCTCTATCTCGGTTCCTGCTGGGATCCGCCGGCCGTGGCTTCTTCTCCAGCCGTGCCGCCTCCCTCAGCCTCTGCGTGCCTGGCCCCCCCACCCGGTCTCGTGCAGTTAGAGCCCCAGCATCCGTCATTGCCAACATCCCTGCCTCTCACCGCAATTCCTCCGCCTAGGTCGTCCGAGACTCCTCTGCATGCGCATGAGCCAATTGAGCTTCCTGTGAGCTCTGCCCCTGTCGCACCAGCCACTGCTACCTTGACGGATCCTCCACCCCTGGCCGCTGTGGCTAGGGCCTTCCCATGTAGTCTGTGTGACCGCTCGTTTGATACGCGCAAGTCTCTGAAGCTACACATGGCGAGGTCGCACCAGCAGCATACGGCCACTATTGTCTTCAATCGAGCTCTGCATGCGGTCGCCGGTCTTCCCACCTGCGCCTTCTGCAAAAAGTCCTTTACTCGATAGGTCTTTCATCACACATCACTAACCGACGCTGTGAAGACTTCCCGGAGTCTCTGGCTTTTCTCCCCTCAGTGGTGGCGGACCCTCCGCCGCCAGCGCCTGTGCAAGCCGGGGTCTCGCCAGACCGGGATCTCGCCGAAGGATCTGCGGCACCAGCCTCAACCTGGGCCGACCCGGCTGCTGCAGCTGTCTCTTCCACTGTCCCCGTACCTGCACTTAATCCTGAGCCCGATCCCCCGCCGACCCAGGTCGCTGAGGACGCCTCAGCCCCGCTAGCTGCTGAGGTTGTGCGACAACTGCAAAAAGGAGGTGCCGCTGTACTCTTACGGTCTTCATGTATGAAATTGCTTACGCACTATTGCGGATTGTGTGGGCAGTGGCATGCGCATAGCCAGACCCTGAAACTTCATTACCGCAGCCTGCACAAAGCAGCAAAGCAGCCTTCGCCCTAGACGGGAGGGCACGTCAGCTTGCACCCAGGCTTGGTGCAGCTTTTAGTCCCTGTTTGTACTGCAACGAGTCCCGCACACACCCAGCTCAGCACATCAAGCTTTGCACCGCCCTTTGGCAGGCCCTACTTCTTTCACTGCACCATGGGTCTCAGCTCGGAACAGGCCGACCAGCAGATGGAAAAGGCCTTCGGACCGATCCTGAAGTCGCTGCAGTGCAAGAGGCCTGCAGCCTTGGACTCCGGAGCGCCATCGAGGGATCTCAAGGCGCAGAAGGGCCAGGATGGCAAGGGCCAGGGATCGAGGGCGGACTCCAAGGGCAAGGGCAAGAGCCGCGGGCGCGGGGGACGTCGTCCCGCGAAGAGCCCGGCTCCCTCCTGGGGCTCGAGCGCTGGTTTCGGATGGCAGCAGGCGGAGGAGGAGGCCATCCCAGATCTGCAGATGTGCCGCCTGATGGCGCGCACAATCGTGGAGCAGGCGGACACGATTGCAGTCCTGCGCCAATCGACTGCATGGGTGATGTGGATGCAGACCTCGCCTCCCTCCTTGATCCCGACTCTCACGTCAACGGCTGCTCTTTGGAAGGAGAAGGTCAGCGACGAGACCTCCGAGCTCTACGGCCTCGGTCTTCGGGCAGCCGGTTCGCGGCGACGCGGCAGCTGGCAGAATCCATGGAGGGAGTGGTGACCTTCAAGGTGGACATTCAGTTCCGCTCTCCGAGGGCGCATCAGCTCTACACCAATCTGGAGCGCCTCGCCGGCTTGGCGCCGCTGAACATGCTCGGCCTCTCTTTCCGCAAGGAGAGCTACAAGCGATCGAATGGGATCCAGAAGCTTGCAGAATGGTGTGGCTGAGGCGAGCTGTGTGGACCAATCCTGGTAACCTGTGTAACATGAATGCGCTTTTCAGGTGTCTGTGCTGGGCCCTGGTTGGCTTTCACGGGTGGGAGCAGGCCACCTCCAGGTTAGGTGTCGCGGCTGTGCGCTCTCTCTCCCTGCGCACTGTGCCCACCTGCCCCTTCGATCTTCGCAGCTGGAGGTCGCTCCTGGTGAGCTGGATGAATCCCTCTGCTCAACATGACTGCGCAGAGCTCTTAGCTCATCTGGTCGAGCGCTTTCGCTCCAATCTGCTCTTCCTGGACATGCTTTTGACGATATTATATCGTCAGACCTGGGTTGCCTGGACTCTGACGATATTTTTCTGATCCCGACGATATTTCAAATACAAGTAACATCCCGACGATATTTTGACATATTTATGGATCCCGACGATATTTCCCGAGTCCCGACGATATTTCCGGAGCCCCGACGATATTTCCCGAGTCCCGACGATATTTCCGGAGTCCCGGCGATATTTGCCAGAGTCCTGACGATACTTTCCCGACCCCCGACGATATTTCCAGAGCCCGACGATATTTACCCGAGTCCCGCGACGATAGTTCAGGGTTTAAATTTGACGACCTTAGTGGACGCGGCGTTTTGACGATGTTAGTGCTGTGCTTGCATGGTTGCGTTCGCGTCCACAGCAGACAAAGCAAGCGCAACCAAGCAAGCAACCAAGCCAGCAACTCATGAATCCCAATGAAGTGCGACACGATCAAGTGTTTCAAGGTACATTCAACACTTCCCTGAGCAATTGGAGCAACCTACCAACCAAACAAGCAACCAAGCAAGCAACCGATGAATCCCAGTGCGATACGCTCAAGTGTTTCAAGGCAAGAACAACAATTCCATGAGCAACTGGAGCAACCACGCAGTCGATCAATCAAGCACATCAATGCACATCAGTTCCCAACTCACCGACCGACGAATCCCAAGCAAGGGCGACAACACCCTCAAGGTACACAGCAAAGCAACTGGAACAACCATGCCACCAGCATTCCAAGGCAACGTCGATGCGAATTCCAAGCATGCACAACCGACCGACTGACCGACCGACCAACTAAGCACAAGCACCCAAGCATTCCAAGGCAACGTCGATGCGAATTCCAAGCATGCACAACCGACCGACTGCAGACCGACCGACCAACTAAGTCACGCCAAGCACAAGCACCCATCTGACTTCGATATGTTTGCCGGCATGCAGCGTGTGCCCTACGGGATGGATTCAACTGCAATTTGCTTTCGAGCTTCGGTGTCTCAGGGGAAACCTGAACGGGTTTTACGTTGGTAGCGGAGCATGGCTGGTAGTGGAGCATGGTCTTTTGTTGACGCTTGTAACTTAATCGCCATGGCGGCGGGAATATGCTGCAACCGAGATTTAGGGCTTCCAATTCATAAAGGGTTTAGAAATCATGCTGGTTTGGCAAGAATCGTCAGCACCGGGGTCGGTCTGTGACGTAGTAGCTTTGCGTTTTGGGCATTATTGTTTTGTGGTGCTCTGGTGGGTTTTAGTTGGAAGGTCGAGCAGCTGCATGCTAGACTCTTATATCACTTTTTTGGACCGTATACGTCCTGGAATCCAGGACATTTTGTTTTTATGTCTCTCGAGTGTTGACTTTAAACCAGGGGACTGTGATCACTCGTAGCACTTTTTATCTCATCATGCGGGACCATTGAAAGCTCTTCAATGTGATGTAGCGACGAGCCCAAGATACCAGTTGCACCGCCGCATGGCATCCAGCAGCCACACTCCTTAGCTGATTGACTGAACAGCTGCATGCCCAAAAAGGGTTCGAACTACAACAAATAAGTTCAGACAGGGACAGACAAGAGTGATCAGTAAACAGCCAATTTTCTTCATATACTTCATATGGTCTTCGTCACCAAAGTTGGAACAGTGCATAAAGTTCAGCTTTGTTTGCGCGACTTCTGCGATCATGTGAGATGCATAGTGGTGCTTTGGTCTCATCTTGTAAAGTAATTGAGACAGTCCATATGCACGGGCAGCTGCGTATTGGTACAAGAGCAGGAAGGTTTCGAAAAGCCACACGGATTCTTCTGTTTCTCCATCGGTCATGTGGGGCTTGTGGGCGGTCCCAGCCACAGACAAGGCAGCATCGAGAGACCACAGCATACAGGCACGGGCCCTTCTCCAATGAGCTGTCTCGGAACTGCAATCGTCCGGGTCGAGCTGTTTCTCGAGCTCCACGGCGAAGTGGGTGACGAAGGCTAAAAGATTCCTGCATCTCGATGCTTTGATCGTGGAGCTCAATTCAGGATATTTCAGCGTCGCATTCAGCGAGTCCATTGTGATCGGATTTATTCCAAGATCCAATCGTCTTTCCTTGCACCACGCTTGAGCTCTGGATGTGAACCGGTACAGAATCTCATTCGGCTTTGGCGACTGGTCCTGCAAATCCAAAAACCTGGACATCTCACCTCATGGGCTGGCGGAGCTATATATCTCTACGGAGCTACAGCTACACAGAGTCCTGAGCGAGATAATGACACAAAAAACATCAAGCTCCTGCTCTTGTTGCCTCCCGGAGACCGTTCCGCAAAGTTTCCAACATGACAGAAGCCAGGAGGTCGCGGAGCACGCCCAGATGTACCAGATGCATGACTGCAGGGGCAGGTTGAAGTTGAAAGGCATGTTTTGTGCATAATATGATGACTTATAATGATGGAGAAACAATTATGTGCTTCGGCCCTGCCATATATCATATGCAGACAGGCCGCCGTCGTACAGCCGTCTGCGACGGGTGTAGCCCTCGACTTGCTTCCAAGGAGAAACATCGTTGGCGTGCGGAGCTGGGCGGGTGTGCTCCTCGGTTTGACGCCAGCCAGCTGTAGCACTCAAGTCGCCAGAGTTGAGGATGACGTCGCTGTTGCAAGCCAGACACCGGTCGCATATATACTTGCGAGTGTAGTTGCGACAGAGTTCATGGCTCTTCATGTGGGCTTCCTGGTCCCCTTTCCAGAATGCGAAGACGGCCTTGACCGGACAGCGTTTCCCAGCTCGCCGCTGCCTGTTTCTGAATTGCAGGCTTATCTAGCTCCATGGATATTTCTGTAAACCCCGAAACCATTAATCTGGACAAGGATACAGTACCCCTGCCTTGTGGACATCTTTGGCCACTCGTTGCCGTCCCAGTCGTGCATTGGAAAATATCCTTCTTTCAGTGACTTGAGGTCCCACGATATTATCCTGGCAATAAAAGTACGAGTTTGCTTCGCAATCCGAGATTGCGGAACACCAATGATGCAGAACCTGCTGATCTCGGACCTTTGGTTGGTCAAGGCTGAACACCACGACCAAAATACCACAGTCTCTCGCTTCGTGGTTGGCACACCGTCTTCATGAAAAAGCAGCGGATAAGGATAATCTGAGTGGTCGATCAGGCCCTTGTAGACAGGATCGATCTCGCGGTCCCACCATTCTCGCACAGATCCAAAGCCTTCAAGGCAGGAGGAAAGGAGCCCGCGCTTGCTCAACTCCGCCAAGACATCAGAAGGCAACACGATCGAAGCAGGTGTTGTTACCAACCTCAGAAGCAAATGAAACGGTGCCGTGTTGGACATGGTGAAGGTCGTCGGCAGGCGCAGCTTATAAAAGAACAGTGTAACATACCAAATGCTTCGGACACGGGTCTGCTTGTCTTCCCTCTCTGCTGTCGTGCTGAACACAGGAAGTTGCACCTTGACGGGGTCGAAAGGGAGCCTCATCCATTTGTAGGCATCCCGTTCTTGTGCAGAGGACGCCATCTGCAGGAGGTCCCGTCTCTTCACACCGTCGTTGGCAAAGGCTTTCGCCAGTTTTTGGCTCTTAGAGTAGCTCATTGCCTTAGATACCATGGGTCGGAAAATGTGCAACGTTGCTTGATTATACGGCTTGTTCATCCTCACGGACAAGTAAGTAATATTCTCACCTGCAATTCCTGGCTGCTCCTTTGCCCACCTCTTCGGCGAGCATGCGAGCTCCATGAGATTGGAAATCGTCTGTAGATCTGCGGAAGCAGGTCAAGTTAGAGCATGCTACATCAGCACATGAAGTAACAAACGTGGCAGAATCACATCTTCACTCGACGCTTGCCCTCGCAGATCGTTTCGTCCATCCCCGCATTGTCGTACCTGCCAATCAAAAAATGCTCCATTCTGGTAGCAGCAGAGGGACAAAGCTTGGAAGAGGATCCTGATGCAGCATGTTTTTTTGCAGCTCGCCGCTGTGGTTCCGTACAATATACCTGTATAGGCTGCTGGTTCATCCAGCGCCTTGTGCGTATGTGCATGTTCACTGCAGTCGCAGTGATCGTGAGCACGATTGCACATGCTCTCAGATGTGCCCCAAAAGCACGTGCAGGTCTTGGCCCAGTACTTCCATCCGGAGCACACACAGACATATATATATATATATATATATATATATATATATACGCCAAATACAGTACGTTACTGTCATAGACTCTGCACGTGCAACTAGCATAACCCTTGGAAAGAGGAGACCTCCTCCCCTATATGTAGCTGCACCGGCAGAGATCTCAATCCTGATCTGCACGTGCAGAACCCTGCACTATGATCCATTGGATCTACTGCTTGTCTTTCCTCTTTCTGCTAGCCTTGGCTTTGGGTTCCTTGGTCGGGCCCAAGGCTAAGTTGGCAGCTTTGATCAGCGAGGCGGCCGTCTTGATGGTTCGATCGGACTCCTGTTCAATGGAGCAAGCAAAGAGATGGTACTACGTATAGGTCATGCAAGAACACAATCTTAACGGACCGTGACCTGCTTCAGCACAAGGAACTCGCGGCCCAAAGGGAGGTAGAGCTGCTCGTCCTCAACCTGTTTCTTCATCAGGTCGCTGACCTGGTCCCACACATTCCTGGGAAAGCATATGGGAATTCAAGTCATGGGAGATGTCAGTTTGCATTGTCGATTTGGCTGCAAACAAGGGGGCTGGAACTTCTGCTCATAAGCCGTCAGCTCCTCCAAACATTTCGCAGCGTAGACGTTGCCCTTGAGCTGAGTAATCATCTTGTGTGTCTCAGTCACCTTGGCCATGACCTTGTTGCGGAGGTCTGCAGCTTTCTCATGGGTTGTCAGGGGCTCCATTCGCTGCGGTTTCCCTTTTCCAGGTTTGGGTGCTTTGCCCTCGTCACTCGGTGACGGAGTAGGATTCGAAGCCGGAGTTCCAGGCGGAGTTCTGGCCGGCGTCGATGGGGCAGAGCCACTGCCGATCGATGGCCTTGCTTGGCCACTCTTTGCCAGGGCTGACCTTGCGAGGAGAGCATTATAATAAGGAACTTGTTGCAGACACATTACAAAGATGTGGAGTTGACTAATTTAGAAGAGAAGGTGCTGCACATTTGCCAGATACTCTCGAGCTGTTGGATCCGCTGTGTCCAAAGCACCGCCCGAGGAAGTTGTCTGACCTCCATTTTTATAACGAGTTCTACCACATGAGTGCAAGCATGACACTTCCACGTACACAAATGCAGCAGTGGCACGGTCCAGTTCGTCTCGACTTCCCTGGCTGGATCTTACAATATTGGGACAGAAAAGCAAAAAAAGATGCACATACACGAGGCCCTTGGACCGTCCTCGTCGACAAAGAGTGCAGATACAGCTTGGCACCCGTGAGGTTCGGATCGTCTTGAACCAAGCCCTGCTCCTGCTTTTCCCGCATGACTCTTGGAGCGTCCGAGCCGTACATCTTCTCCAGCTGGATGGCCGTAAGAGGCGTCAGTTTGGCTCTCTCTTTGCGGGCCTTCTCCTGCACACTCTCGATATGGTAGTGGGCGGCCACCTGCTCGAGGGAGCCGGCTGATTGCACCAAGGCGTCGATCAAGGCCGACTTCTGATCGTTGTCTTGCACGGCAGCAGTCAGAGCTGGCGGCAAGGACAGCAGCCGAGCCGGGTTGTTCGAGAGTCTCTTCAGGAGGTTAGCAGCTGCACGGCGAGTGTAGCCAGAGCCAGAATCGTGCTCCATCGACTCTGCAACCTGCTGTTGCACTTTTGCGGCGGGCAGCTCAACTTCTGCAGGAGCAGACAGCTGTTCACCGTTGGCTTTGGCCGGCACTGTTGACACCTGCGTGGGCGGCTTCTCCTTTTCGGCATGCACCTTCCAGCCGAGCTCTTCCAAGGCCTTGTCGGCCTTGTCCATGGATTGCCTGGCAACTGAGTCCAAGATGGACTTCTCTTTGCCAGCTTTCAGAGCCTGGAGTTGCTCTTCAAGCATCCTAATCTCGCTGCTTTTTTGCTCAGCGGCTCCCGGATTCGGGGCCGTGGGCTCAAGCATCCTAATCTCGCTGCCTTTTTGGTCAGCGGCTCCCGGATTCGGGGCCGCGGGCTGGGGAACTGTCCCTTGTGGCTTCGGGTGGCCGGCGTTGAAAGGTTCCGTACGTGCTGGCAGGGAAGTTCGGGCCGCTGCTCGGCCTTTCTCTTCTTGGCTTGCTCAAGCATTGCCAAAAGCTTCTTTCTTTTTTCCGCTTTGAATTCTTGGACCTGCGTGGCAGTACGGAGTTGATCTCCAACACTGCAAACATGATAGAAGGAAGAGGTTCGGCCTCGTGATCTGTCCAGCCCTTAAGGGGATTGCCCGCCGCATTGGTGTTCTCAGCCTGGTTTTATATAGAGTGCTTCTAGGCACAACCGCAGCGGAACGAAAACTCTTGGTCTGTTGAGGAAGCTCGACCTGGGAATGTGTGGAGAAGGACATGGCTGCGACTGTATGGCTACAAATTAAACTCGCCTCGGCACCTCCTTCCTCTTCTCCTCCTCCTCACATTTCCTTTCCGCTGCAATCCGCTCTTGAAGCTCGACCTGCGTGGAGAATTGCAGGCAAAGCTAGTCCAGCCGAGGCCAATGGATTGGTTCCAGAGCTGAAGCAAGGTTTGGGGCTATCGCCAAGCACAGCCAACCAACCGACAGCAAAGAAGGTCTAACAAGCACCCCCGACGAAACCACCGACACCTGGACAAGCTGAATAGCCTGCATATAGAAACGTAGTTAATTTGGAAACAAGAAGAGGACCTGCTTTGTCTTCTCCTCCTCGGCCTTGGCTCTTGCGAGCTGTTCTTTGAGCTCGGCCTGGTGGACATGGGTGCGACCCCTGCACGCGCTCGGTTTCGCGCGGCTTTAGGCGGCTTCGCGCGCTTCGCGTGGCTTCGCGCAGGCTGCTTCGCGAGGCTTCGTGCATGTGCGCGCGCCCGGCTTCGCGCCGCTTCGCGCGGCTTCGCACGGCTTCGCGCGGCTTCGCGCGTGCTTCGCGCGCCCGCGCTTCGCGCGCGCTTCGCGCGGCTTCGCGCGCTTCGCGCGCCTCGCGCCGGCTTCGCGCGGCTTCGCGCGCCGCGCTTCGCGCGCGCGCTTCGCGCGTCTTCGCGCTCTTCGCGCGGGCTAGTCCCGTCCCCAGGGCGGATCATTCTGCTGCCGGAGTATGGTCCCCCTGGGTCGCGCCCTACGCGCTTCGCGCGCTTCGCACGCTTCGCGCCGTGCTTCGCGCGCTTCGCGCCTTTCGCGCCACTCGCGCGCCTCCGCGCGCCTTCGCGCCCTTCGCGCCCTTCGCGCGCGCCTCGCGCGCGCCTCCACGCGCCTTCGCGCGCTTCGCGCGCCTCTCGCGCGCCTCCGCGCCTTCGCGCGGCTTCGCACCTCTCGCGCCTCCCGCTTCGCGCCCTCGCGCGCCTTCGCGCGCCTTCGCGCGCCTTCGCGCCTTCGCGCGCTTCGCGCGCTTCGCGCCGCTTCGCGCACCTCTCGCGCGCTTCTGCGCGCCTTTGCGCGCTTCGTGCGGTTTCGCGCTGCTTCGCGCCGCTTGGCGCCTCTCGCGCGCCTCCCGCGCGCCTCCTGCGCTTGCTTTCGCGCGCTTCGCGGCCTTCGCGTGGCCTCGCGTGGCTTTGCGCGGCTTTTCGCGTGGCTTTTTGCGCGCTTCGCGCCCTTCGCACGCCCCGCGCTTCGCGCGCTTCAGACCCTTCGCGCGTGTCGCGCCAATTCGCGCGGGTTTCGCGCGGGACTTTTTGCGTTATATCTATAGAGCCCACGTGCATGCATCCATGCGCGAAAAGTGTTGTTTCAACGGACGTGTTCTTCATGTGAAGCTGCATACTCCGAACTTGGGGCGTTTACCGAGGCTGGCCGGCTTGCACATGTTGGTCTGTATAGTCGACTCGAAGTAGTCCCGAAATCCATATATGGCGCTGTTGACCTCTAAAAAAATTTTTGAACAACCTGAGAACCCCACCGAAAGCAGTTGCCTCAGTGCCCCACGGTACATCGGCGCGGCGCAGCTGCCTGCAAAGCTACGTTCAAGCAAGAAAGAACAGTGCTCCAGACTGGCAGCTGCGGGTGCAGAACCTGGCAAAAACTCGTACTTTGATTTTGCGGCCAGAAACGGACACGCTTGCCGCGGTGCAGAAGTCGGTTGAATTATATATATATATATATATATATATATATATATATATATCAGGACGAAGTACGAATTGCGCACCAAATGCACGTGTATACTGTCTGCAGACTTATATAATGCTTGCAAGCCTGGAACTTGACTGCGAATCGCGCAGACCTGCCGCTGCATGGACGAAAGTCACTAAGTAACTATAAGTGTCGAGCAGCAGGTCACAGAATGTGACAGCCAAATTTGATTCACTCGACCGGCGCTTCCGGACGTGGACCCACATTCTGAATCAACAGATTGCGGAGCTGCCGTCCTGTGACCTGGCACAAATTCATTAACAGGTTGTGGTAGGCCACAAACGCACGTCACCCCTGCTCCGGCGACGGTGGCTTGAAAAGCGCCAGCCGCGCGTCCGTTTTGCCTTTGCTTACAAGCTTCCCCAAAGGGTAAAAAAGATTCAAGCCGGCTTCCACGACTTGCTCTAACGTACTCTTTGGAAAGCATTGCGGGGTCTGTTTCGCCCGGCACAGCTTGGAGGCAAACTCGCGAAGGGGAATCTCGGGCTTCCCGACAAGAAGGAGCTTCTGCATAACCTCCCGATCTGAGAGCCATGGGGTCTGGTCCGCGGGCCACACTTGAACGCTGGCGCCGTGAGCTCCGTAGCATGTTTTCGTGCCGACAGCCGTGTCCATCTTGATGATGTTCTCTTGATCAACATGGGGAGGCACTGCAGGGAGATCCTCGAGCTGGAGTGCCCACAAACGTTCAATGACATTCAATTGGCTTGGTTCCCACGCTGCAGGCACATTCCTAGCAGCGCCGGCAGGAAAGGCAGCCGCTGCAGCAGCCTCCTCCTCCTCCTCCTCCTGCTGCTGCGGTAGCTCTTCCATCTGGGACGGCAGCCGCCCATGGCCTGGCGCCAAGCCAGCAACGAACTCCGGATCTTGGAGAAGAATTTGCTCCGGCGCGGTGAAGGCGTCGCTGTTAACAGCCCGGGCAGCGCGCATATGCTCCAAGAGCCGTGGAGTTCTCTCGCCCTGTTGATGTGCTCCCGTTGAAGTGACAACCGAGGACTGGCCGCGACGGTGGCCGGGTCGATGTGGCCGACGAACACATCGAAGCCGAAGAGCAGCCCTGCTAGGACACCAACTTTCCATGGACCCGCACCCCATCTGGCAGCGCAGTCGTAGTCGCCCCCGTCAGATGCTAAAGATGCTTTGATGTTGCAGAGGGTGCATGTGCGGCCTGAAGTAACCTCTTGGCCGCAGCGTTCGGCTCCAAGACTTTGTGGGGAACGGCGAAATAAAAGCCGTGAGAGTGCGTGTTGCAGCGGCACACAAGTCATGATCTGGAGGCAGCGGGAGGTGTCGGTTCGCAATCCGAAACTCTGCCGATGCTTTCAATGCGGAACGCCGTCAGGCAACACAAAGTCGTACTCCAGGCTGTCCGGCAGATAGCGATCGCCGTCGACAATGGCCTCCTCCACAGCAACATCACCCAAGCGTACCTGCAGGACCTTGCATTCCGGATCGGCAGCCAACCGCTTGGCCGCCTCTGGATCCCCGATGACTGACTGCAAGCCACACATCACAGCTAACTCCTGGTCCAGCTCTGCCCAAACCCACTTCTCAAAGCCTGCTGGGGCCACGTGATCGTCAGGAGTCGGAGCATGCGGCGAAATTGGCGATGCGGAGTAAGCCATGCATGAGGCGCTCCTTGGTCTGCCCGGTGTGTTTATCCACGAGGCCTCGCTCCATGGGAATGAAAATCTCGGGGTGCATGTTGCCAATTAAGGAACGTCATTGACGTAGTAGGGCACGAGCCTTCCCCATGTATACCCCTTGTGCGGGTCGCCTTGGACGCCTCCCCAAACTGCAAAAACCTTGCTGCAGCAGCAGCAGCAGCAGCAGCAGCACTTCGCGCGCTTCGCGCGGGCTGCTTCGCGTGGCTTCGTGCGTGCACCAATGCGCGCTCGGCGCGCACGCGCCCCTGCGCGCGCGGCGCACGGCTTCGCTTCGCGCGCGGCGCACGGCTTCGCGCGGGCTGCTTCGCGTGGCTTCGCACGTGCCCCTGCACGCGCCCGGCTTCGCACGCGGCTTCAGGCGGCTTCGTGGGCTTTGCGTGTCTTCGCGCGTGCTTCGCGCGCCTCGCGCCGGCTTCGCACGGCTTCGCGCGGAAGCGCTTAAGACGCGCGCTTCGCGAGGGCTGCTTCGCGCGCTTCGCGTGGCTTCGCGCGTGTTTCGCGCGCCCGCGCTTCGCGCGGCTTCGCGCGCTTCGCGCGGGCTAGTCCCGTCCCCAGGGCGGATCATTCTGCCCGGGCGTAGTCCAGCAGCGATGCCTAGGATTTTTTTTCACTAAGTAAACATTGCAGAGAGGTCATGTGGCTCCACTGAGCGGCATGAAGATCCGCCATGGATTTGTCTCCACTGGCCCGGAGACCCCTCATTTTGCGTTCCATCCTGCGTGTATCACATGCGTGACCAAAAAAGTGAAGACCACATGCATGAAACAAGGCGTACGGGTCCCATCTGACCGAAGCTGCTTGCGATTCCGCAGCCACCATTCGCATATGGTTGTACCAAACCTGACAGGGACTTGAGCATGTCTAAAGTGCGGCCCTTTTGCATCACGAAACACGCATGCAACTCTCGAAGAGGCAGCCTTTCCGGGTAAGCTTGCGAAGCCTTGAGACCAGGCCCCCCACATGTTTTGCGGATGCCTTGGGAGTTCACGTACCTAGGTGCAGGAGAAGATAGAATCAACTGCATTCAAAGTGGGAAGCCAGCTTTACTGGAATCCTGGAAGTAGTGATGGTGGTTCGATACTTGCACAGCTCAGGACAAGCAGCTTTTGCATGACAGGACCGTACTTGTTGCAGGAGCGAGCTTCGGAGCCGGGAGCACTGGAAGTCTCGAAGGCATCGGACATGTCTTCGTTCGAGTAAATCCAAATTGGTTTCAAACTGTGAGCCGCAAAGGTTGCCAAGGAAACGCTATGCCTGAGAAGTTGAGCTTTGACATGGCCTTCTTGCTCCCTGGCAATGAACCACTTCATGAGATATTGAAGGTCCCAGTGAACCTCCAGTTTGGAGTTGAAAGGATTCTCCAGCGAGAAGACTCCTCCCCGGGCCCAGTGCAGCAAAAGGATGGCCGCTGTGATGCTGGCCAAGGCAGACCCCTGTTGAACATAGGGATATTGAGAATTTCCTTGTGGGAAAAAGGCGCTGCGGCGATGAGTTCCGGAATTCGGCCAGCAGAAGGACGTGCAGACAGTGCCACAATGCACCAAGGATCCTGGTTCCATGAGCAGCACTGTCATGAAGGCGAGCACCACGCCTGGAGGCGAGAGAAGGTCGTGCATCAAGGAGCCTTAGGAGCGGCATTACACAGGACATGCAATTATACATGGCTATGCAGAGGAAGTCGTGCAACCCGAGAATCGTTCAACATCAATGGCTTTGGCATTGTAGCCTTCCCGTCTCCATGCCCCAGCGAGCACAGCAACTCCTGCAAAGAACTCCGTCATTTGCAGATGCCCTGTGGGCAAGTCCGGCAACATCAGGTAGCGGGAAAAGTTGCATATGTGAAAAAAAGATTGACAGACACATTGGCATTCCAGGGTTATAAGCCTCGCAAAGATATAGGCAGCCTTCCAGCTGGACCACGAAGCACATCATTACCATCTCAACCAAAACCTGGATGAAATCTGTGGAGAGGCCGGAGCAGAAAGAGGAGAGAAGAATCGGAGAGAAGAGGCGTTTTTTTTGCATCCGCGAAGCCCAAGGAACTCCCAAGGACACCAGACCATGGAGCTCTCTCAGTCGTGCCACATCCAAGCGTTTCATAAAATGTTCCACGGCCACAAGATCAGGTGTATAGTTGAGCTCAGCAGGGCCAGCCATCAAGGCAGCTGTGATCGGTGCAAAGTGAAAACAACTCATCAGTCCACGACAATGATCTTGAACACATGCTTCTATCTAAACATCTTTTGGCGGGTTGGCATAATGGTCATGCATGTGCACAGTTTCCTTGGAGGCTGTGATTCTTTGGGACATGATTCTAATTAAGCCTTTGATCCACTGCGATGATGGAGAGTTCAGCAAGTATTATACGTGAATCAAGAAACATGAAGCATGGCATAGCCCGGGGCACAGAGCGGATTGTCTTCGGCATCCCAGCCGCTGCTCCAAATCATCATCGAGGGCACGGCCTACAAAACAGCAACGAAGTTTGTCCTGTCTCGCACATGGAAAGCATGGAGTGGAAGCATGCCTGCAGATTTATTTGGTTCACATGCAATGTGCCTTTTCTCATGCTTTACGTCGGCTTCCCTGAAAAGGGGCCGGGCTCATGAGGCACGTCGGCTTCCCTGAAAAGGGGCCGAGCTTAGCAGTTTCCACCCATCATAATACACAGCGGTTCCCGTCCGGGAGCTGTTTCCATCCATGATAATAATACAAGGAGCCGGCCCTGGATTCCAGGGCCGGCTCAGGGAGCTTCAAGCTTGTGCTTGTTCACAGTCTGGACGGCCTCCTCCTCCGTGATTTCTTTCTTCCGCAGCTGACCCATGGCGACCTCCACAACATCCCTGTCGCGGCACTGCACCAGCTGCTTGTCGATCGACTTGTTCTCCGAGTCTTTGACCCTCTTCACCAACGCAAACATAGTTTTGCCATGTCTCTTGTGAGGCTTTATCAGGTAATGCGGGCCGTCATCCGCAGTCGGCCTGGAAGCCGCCTTTTTGGCCGCCGCCTTCTTGCGTGCGGCTAGCCGTCGCTGGTTAAGCGGAAGCACGGGTTCGGGGGCTTCTGCATCCATGCCCTGGCGCATCTCCTGGCAGCATGCAGGTATTTCAAGAAAGTATAGAGGAAAATGTATGATGCGGCTGAAGTGCCTCCAAGTACTCAGGCTCTGGGGTGTAGGAGACTTCACCGGACACGTCAGACTTGCGTTTCGTAGCAGGTCCGCGGGCATCAGCACCGCTAGCCTGACATGCGATCGAGGCATCCAAGGAAACAGGATGTTATAGCCAGAAGCAGCAGAGAAACAGGAGCATCCTCATCCTCACTTTCAAGAATTTCCAGTGTTTTGCCCGATAGCGACGAGAGGATATTGTTCCTGCAAAAGGCACTCAACATAAGAAGCCACACGGTCGGATTCCATGCCTGCCTAAGGGATTGCACCGTGATCTCCCCCGGCACGGCGGACCTGCCCGGAGCACAACCCATGCCAAGTCCAACTTGTCAAACCTGCTATGTGCCTGCTCTCTGACGATGATGCCGTGGACGGCTGCATGATCTCCGGCCTTCGGAAGCTGGGTTATTTAGGGTTTAGGGTCGTCTCGAGGTTTTAGGGATTCAGGGTTCCTGAGGTATATACGGTTAAGTGAAGATGCCAAATGACTGCCGCCATGTTCATCGAAATCACCTGTATGCACTATAGAGGCCTGGGTTGCGCTGACGACGAGGATGCCTGTTCGGGGTCAGCACTTGGCCTGCAGTGACCCGAGTGGACAGACACACGAAGTGACAGTCAACAAAGGCAACGTAGCCATTATGAGTTCAGCTTGCAACTGAGAGTCTCGTTTTTGAAAAGCTCCCGGCGCACCGTAGATCCATCTTCGTTGAAGAAGAGTAAGAAATCGTCCGGGGGCGATTTTGGATCCCTGCGTTCCACTGATCCATCCTCTTTGAAGAAGAGCAACTCGTCGTCGTCGTCGTCGTCTTCCAAGTTTTCCTTGGATTCCTGCGTCCGCATGGCGGCGATCATCTCGAAGAGCTTCGGATTTGCGGACATCGCAGAAGCCGGCCATTCCTTTGATTGCCTCTTAGCTTCGTACTTCCAGACCCGGCGAGTCTTCCTCAGTTCGGCAAAGAGAGCGTCGAAGGCGAGCACCTCCATCATTTTCTGATTCAATTCCACGTGCTTCGGGCCATCCCTTTTGAAAACTTCTTCCAGGATCGACTGCAACCTCACATGAATGAAGACACAGCGGGCAGTGCATGGTCACAGCAGACCCGCGACAGCAGACATTCATGGCTCTTTGAAGACAGACCGCGTCTCCACAGACCAGGTCGCCGCCGGGTATTTTCGGATCAGTGGCATCAGAATCCAGTACGACTCCTTGCAGCTGGGTGCGGTATCCCAAGCCTACCTCAAGCAAGCACAACTGGCCAACCGACAACAAGCTCTAGCTACCTACCTCAAGCAAGCACCCCCTCCGTGAGACTCAAGTGCCTCTTAGATTCCACTTGCATCTCCCGCGTGATTTTTGCGGCGTTGCCGGCTCGATGAAACAGCTGAGCCGGATCTCCGCGGAGGAGATCCGTGGTGTCGAAAGGACAGGATACCTCCTACACAGGCAGCTACAGGATAATGCGTGGGAAGTATGAACAATTCTATTTCCAGCGGAAGCATGGACGAATGCATGGATCCCATCCTGGAGCAACTCCATCACCTGCTCCTTTTCCAAAACCAAATCTTTGATGCGAGGCATGGCTCAAAATCCGGACACGTGCCCAGACTTGCCTAGGGCAAAGCCCGCGTGCATACACATGAAGGCTTGTAGTTTGGATACTGGTTTACAACGGCTCTGCCTAGCTATTGGGTATTGTTTTATCCGCCCTGGAGTTCCAGGGCCGATTTAGATAGGATGCGCACACGACATGATCAAGCATGCACCCTATATGCCACAAAGGCAATCAGCTGTAGGGCCAGATATGGCAAAGTGCATTGCAAAGATGATATAGCGGCAATTCACAGCTAGATGCATATCACAAACACACATGCAGACCCAAACAGCCGTGTTGCGGCAACAGTCCCCGCCTGCCAGTGTCTTGCGTTTGCCCATGGCCACGCTCCACACAAGCTGTCGACGAGATCAAAGCCCTGGCTGGGGCAAAGTGGGGTTCAAAGGTTAATTATGCTCATGAACTCTGGCACAATCTCGTGAAAAGAGGTAAGGGTAAATGGGGGTGGCAAATGCCGACGCCCCGCCGTGAAAAGAGGTAAGGGTAAATGTGGGTGGCGGAATGCCAACGCCCCGTGAAAAGAGGTAAGGGTAAATGGGGGTGGCGGAATGCCAACGCCCCGTGAACAGAGGTAAGGGTAAATGGGGGTGGCAACGGGCGTGGCAAATGCCGACGGCCCGTGAAAAGAGGAAAGGGTAAATGGGGGGTGGCAAACATCATCTCCCCGTGAAGAGGCCAAGCGAGAAACTTACTAAAGCCAGCGGACATCTGAGGATTCGACAGCCTTTTCTTCTGTTGTAGATGTCCTGCATGTCACATACATTAATGACAACACAAGCGACATTAAGCACGAGGCTCTGAATCATTGAGTTCCCGGCGTCCGGCCGTCGTGTTGACTCTTCGCCTCCTGATCACGAGAAGGGACAAGGCAGGCGAAGCGACAGAAGAATGAAACGACCGACAAGCAATATCCCGCCGCCAAGAGCAGCCTTCAAAAACTCATTGGGCAGAGCCAAACTCCACGGTCAAGGATGGTTGGTTGGAGGGGGCGTAGCGTTATTCAATTATATTTCGGTCGGAGTTTGGCAGCCCTAGTCCGAGTCACCCCAGTCCGGGGAATCGGACTCCGGGGAATCGAACGAGCAGCACATTGTGCTCACTCTGGGCTTCTTGCGGACAGGCGTCCTGGCTAGGGCTTAGGGTTTGGAGGGTTTAAGGTTTAGGGTTTTGGGTTTAAGATTTAGAGTTTAGAGTTTAGGGTTTGCGGTTTAGGGTTTTGGGTTTCGGGTTTAGAGTTTAGGGGTTCTGGGTTTTGGGCTTAGGGTTAAAATAGGCAAGGATCTGCGCGGAAGCCGGCGACTCGGCCACGGCCACGGTCAGGGCCGAGTAGACTGGTGGTGCCGTCGTCGAAGGCGAGATAGGAAACTGCTGCCTGGGTTCGGGTTTTTGGTTTAAGGTTTAAGGTTTGTGGGGGTATCTGGGTTTTTTTGGGATCCAAGGGGCATGGCCCCCTGCACCGTGGTGGCACCCAGTGCCGTGCTCGAGGGCGTGATCACCGGCATCCTGGGTTGGCATCGGGTTTGAGGTTTAAGGTTTGTGGGGGTATCTGTTTTTAGGATCCAAGGGGCATCGTGGCCCCCATTGATGTGCTCGCAGGCGAGGGCGTCATCACAGACATCCTGGGTTGGCATCGGGTTTGAGGTTAAGGTTTGTGGGGGTATCTGTTTTTTGGGATCCAAGAGGCATCGTGGCACCCATTGCCGTGCTCGAAGGCGAGGGCGGAGTCATCGGCAGCCTGGGTTGGCATCGGGTTTGAGGTTTAAGGGTTGCGGGTGTATCTGGGTTTTGGGATCCAAGGGGCATCCTGGCCCCCATGGCGGCGCCCAGTTCTGGGGCCGTTGTCGAGGTGATCGGCAGCCTGGGTTGGCATCGGGTTTGAGGTTTAAGGTTTGTGGGTGTATGTAAGTTTTGGGATTCAAGGGGCATCGTGGCCCCCATTGCGGCGCCCAGCAGTTCTGGGGCCGTGCTCGAGGTCATCGGCTGCCTGGGTTGGCAA